AACTGCTAAATCCAAAGTACAATTTAACTACTAAATTTAAAGTATCATTTAAATAAATTTCAGGCTATTTGAAATTCTAATATGTAACAAATGTAACCCCTGAATTTAGCATTGTAAATCCGTTAACTGACCGCTGACCCACCGTAGGACATTGCTGTTACGAAACAAGTAGCTGTTACTAGTGGTACGTATAATATCAGACAACTTCATGAATTCATTCAATTCCACAAAGTTGTGTGAATGTACTTTTCGTAGTTTGTTCAGTATGACATCAAAAGTTATTTATCAATTAAACCTAAACTTTGTTTAATAACCTTAAACAGCATACTTCGTTATGTGTTGTAACTAAAACTAGGTGTCATTGCATGTTCTGCAAGTCTTAAGTTGTATTTGTCATTAATCATTTATAAACTTTAGTCCAAGAAAATTCACAATTCCATATCGAAACTTTCTTTTGTTTTTATGCATGTTTCAGTGTAATCTCCACCATATTTCATTTTTTGAGTTCAATCTGTTATAGCAATATTTTCATTAATTTTGAAAGAGCGTGCATTATCAATTTTGCTGGAAACAAGAAATTATGATTTTTTGAAAGGTTTTGAATCACTAGATGATCGCAACTCTTTTCTAACAAGAATTTTCTCTTTCTCTTCTCTGCAGTATTTCATGTTCTTTTACTTATTGATTTCATCTAGTTTTACTACACTAAAAATAGAACTATTCAGTCAGATATAGTCACGACGAATCACGTTGTCCAGTTTTTTCAATTTGTTTCTGTTTCACATTTCTCAGCAGTGAAGTCAGAATCGATTCAAAGGTTTAAGAGACGAAGAATATAAGAGAGCAGATACTTCCAACCACATCAGTGAATTATCTTCTCAAAACTTCAACTCAAGACTATGGGAATACGAAGAAAAAAGGTAACGAATACGACATACGATAATAAAAATAATATATTTTGTAAGCTTTCAGATTTAGAAAGAGCATTACAAATAGAACGTAGTAAAATATAATTATTATAATCAAAAAGTGAGTCAGGCACGTTTAACTCGATTATAATAATCTCCATCTATACTATTTTACATGCTGTAACACATTGGATGAGACGTACTACTTCAGACATAGTGTGCACGGGTGATTTCGATAGATATGTAGAAATATCTGTAGATTATAAATATGTTTCTTTTTAATTTTTCTTCAATATCCGACAAGGATTTGTTTTTCCTATGGTGTCAGTAAGTAATGGGTGTCATACCATAAATCTTTAGCATGACCTTGAAGGATAAAATTCTTCAATATTAACACATGTTCTAAAGCCTCAGTGGAATACTTAATTACAGTATTTTAATAAACTTAAACTTTCTTTTATTGTTTCTACAAAGATGACCATAGAAATATGTATGACACAAGTTGAATGACCTTTCCAACAAAATTCATATATATTTCTGTATTCCTGAAATCTGGAATATGAATAGAATTATTCTTATTCTATTTCTTTAGAATTAATCCTTTTTCTTTCATTCGTGATTTGTAACAATTGTGCGTCAGTACTGTTTTACTAAAATTAAGTGTATGGATTTCAAATATACTCACCGACAAAATTAAAACGCCAAGTTTAGCAACACAATATGCTTCCCTAATTTTTGATTAATTAATAGAAGTACGCTATTTTATTTCTATTTCAGATTTAAACTCAACGTGTATTTATTCTATTTATCTATTTAAGTAATAATTCTACCGTTGAGATCGAATTCATTAGGGCCAATACATTATATAGCTTACGTACACCTAGATCTCACTTTATAAGAAATATGTAGAGAATTATAACCGTGGTGCTTTATAGTTATTCCTCAAATTTCTTCGTTTCTAAAGTACTGAGTTCTTGTTCTTCTGCGTTATAGATCGTGTCACAATCAGAACTGTTTCGTGCCGAATTGTTAAGCCTATATATAATTCATTTCTACTCATAAGTTTGTAATCTTTATTACATGCGAGATTTGAACGTACCAGTTATTCTTTTCTTCTTCTCTACACGTCCTCCGCGATGTTGGATACCTAAAAGCTAAACCTCCACATTCGACATGTGAATTTAAAATACTTAAGTTAGTTTTAACATACTGAGTTTTTACTTTTTGATTTCTCTCTCTACAGACTATGTCACAGTCCGTACTGTTCCTTACCGAAGTGCTAAGCCTTTTCCTTCCACGAACTATTCTTGTTTCTGCTGTCTCTGCAGGTAAATACATTTTCATTCTGAGAAAACAAGTGACTGTTCATAATAGGAGCGTAAACGATAAGCCTCTTTAGAAACATTGATTTTATACAATTCTTCTTGAGCATAACATACTTAAAATATTACTACTACGACGTTTCTGAGAGGAAGTTTATTTCAAGTTTTTTTTTTATTGAGGCAAGTGACGCAAGGAAAGAATATTCCTATTAAGTTTTATATTAAAGCATGACTTTAAAAATTTTTACCTTTTTAATACGTGTACTGGATACATTGTTAATATAAATTATATTACGAAATAATTCCATAAAGAAAATTTAAAAATCGGCTTAAATACATATAAAAGTAAGGAAAAACTTTTCAAAAAGGGAGTAAATATAGGGTTGGCTAATAATCCTTCAAAATCAATATATATATATATACAACAGTACAATTTACAATAGCAACTATTACGATTAATTACTATGAACAAAGTTTCATAAACAAAAATTTCACTAACTTACAAATATCATAAAAATCTTCTTCCTAGTTCAGAGTCTCCTTGATATCCAGCGAGTTAACTTGAAGTCGATGTACGTACAATTGCCGGGAAGCTAGTTAGCTTTATCAAACACTGAATTGTTGGACCGTTGTAGTAAGATAATATCTTATAAAACAACTAATGTCCGATGAGAAACAAGTAATATTTTCGGAAATATACTAACGTTCGATGAGAATTCACTGACGTTCGAAATTTATAACTGTTCCTGGTCAAATGTCGTATATTTTCCGGTTGATAAAGGATAGCAAAATCACGGTTTATAACGTACATGGTTAGAACAGGTTCCTAACAGACTTAAATGTGTTTCCTTTTTTTTTGACCTTGGTCTTTTTCATATACGCGAGAAATGTTTTCTCGAAAGATTGGACAACAATATTGAATTATATCTAACCGGCTACCGAAGTGGATAAATTGTCGGTACTTGTATTCACGAATATTCTACAACCTTGGAGAATTGGCGGGAGTTTCGCCATACGTAACTAACACTGTAAGCTAGGCACGTTTTTACATATAAACTCAATCCCAACAAACCTTATCATTAAAATAAATATATAACAAATTCGTTACACGCAATACATATCTGACACTATAAGTTACGCATATTTTTAAAAACAAATTTAATCTAAACAATGTTCATATTAAAAATAAATACATAACAATAACTTTCGTTACAAGCTTAATACAAAACGAACAAGCTTGGATTGGGAACATAAGGGAATTTCTGTGTACATAACCGGTAAATAATTTTCAACTGTAGAAAAACAACATAAAGCGCTACAGAGAGTTGCGTGGACTTTGTGCCAAATAATTTGATTTCATTTTACGCTGAAGAATTGGGCGTACACGCTTTGTGTGTGCCGAATGCGTGTAAAATAATCCCTCACTACTTTGTTTGTTTTCTATTAATTAATTAACAATATTTGAGAAAAAAACGAGCTGATAGAATTAGCGTTCAAAGAATCTAAGACAGGACACTCTAAGCAGACACTATTTAATCAAAATTTTGTTCCAGTAATTCATAATTCTTGAAGCAGGTAGGTGCAAAATATATAGAGAATGATGTGTAAAAAAAATAAATAAATAAACTTGTGCTGATTCGTTATTCAGAAATTTGCGGATACGTTTCGCCATCTGTTGACCGTTGTCTAAACTGATTTAAAGTAAGGTTAAGAAAGGATTAAACTAAGGGATCGAAGGATTAAAAGAGATCAAGATAATTTGTAAAAAGAAATAAATATAACAATAAATTTAAGCACTTAAAAACCACATTGAGCTCCACCTGTGACATTTATTTGGCACCGACCTTGCCGCCAATCGTCGAATGAAGTCTTCGGATTTATAAACTACTTTGAGTTTATATTACTCATAATACTAGTTTTATTTGTAAATGTGCAATTTTTATTAATTATAAAGCTAATGTTTTGCCTAATTCATCGTTACGAAACCGAGAAGACTGCTAGTTAAAGGAATATTTGGTGGATGGAAAGCATTATTGACATATTCCGAAATTACCATGACAAAAGAATATATGGGAGCTTTGTTATTCTTTAGTCCCATATGTCATTTGAAGCTAGTTAATAATATCCACCAAACCTAAGCAAAATACCTTATTTATTGGCAAAAGCACTAAATCAGGAAGCATTTGATAAATTACAGGTTGAATGAAAATTTTAAAAAAAGGATTATTGATCTTATCTTTAAAATTGCCGAAAAATTGAGAAAATCTCCAGTTTTCATTTTCTGTCTAACAATTACTTTCACAGCACTGTTTACTAAGTTTTCAAACTCTTCCACTCTCTTTTCAGTAGATTTACAGTTTTAATTGTATATATCCTCGTTAATTTGTTTTCTTCGCAATATTCAGCATAATCTCCAAAATAAAAGTTCTCGAATTTCCATCCTCGAATCATCTCCTGCCAAATAATACGCTTATAGAATCAGAAAATTAGATAAGATTGCTTTTAAAATACTCACATTGTAAACGTTATTTTCTGAATAAAACACAATCAAGAAAACGAAGTAGTGAAGGTAAGTTATTCATGTAAGATCCGCCAACAAACATGTTACCATCACCGAATCATGTTTTACTATACTGTATTTTTACAACCAAACTAAACAATTGTGATTCAGCCAACAAACGTGTCACCATCACCGAATCATGTTTTACTATACTGTATTTTTACAACCAAACTAAACAATTGTGATTCCGCCAACAAACGTGTTACCATCACCGAATCATGTTTTACTATACTGTATTTTTACAACCAAACTAAACAATTGTGATTCCGCCAACAAACGTGTTACCATCACCGAATCATGTTTTACTATACTGTATTTTTACAACCAAACTAAACAATTGTGATTCTTATAGAAAATAATCTTATTCGATTTTTTATATTAATGAATGAGTTTCTTTCTTGCGTAGAGAGAATCTTGCGTTTATCATTACTGGCACAGTTTTATTATCTCAACTTTGTTTCTAAAGTTATCTATTAGTGAATGTATGAAGTGCTGGTTGAAACGTGAAACTTCTATTAAAACAAAACACGGCCTGTAAAATAATAAAACAGATTCTGGATTTATTTTATGGTTAACATTTCGGCCTTTAGCTTTCCTTGGAAGTTTTCAATGTACACAGTCTCCCCTATGATCATATATGCTGAAAGCTTCAGAAGAAGGTTAAAACCTGAAGTGTTGAGCGGGAAAAACAATAACAATTTCCGTTAAATTTATGATATTTTTGTGTAAATAATCTTGGTTATATCAGCTAATAGCTACGTGAAAAGAGTTCTGGAGCTATTTCACGTTCCAGAACTTTTACTGCGCAGTTTTTTAGCGCAAAGCTACACAATGGGCTTCCACTGGGACCGAAACCAGAATTCTGAACCACTGGGGAACGTTTTGTGAGACAACACACACTCTAAAAATTATCGGGAAGGATCAGGCACGTGTGGGCTGTTTTGTTTGTTGTTGTTTTTAATCTAGAGAGCGTTTTCCTAATCCACGTTTCAACATATTACCTGCCTGCGACTGTTTATTTATCTAATACGGTAATAATTATTGCACTAACATCATAGTAATTTGAGAGTTGTTTTTGCATGATGAACGTTATGATAACTGTTGTAGCAACACGTTACCCTAGTAGTTATACACAATATATATCGAGCTTGGAAATACATTGTATGTCTACTCACGTAAGACGTTATGATACGTAATAGAAGGGGCCTGGCCTAGCGATCAACGTGTTAGGCTATGGACCGAAAGGTCTAGGAACCAGAGAGTCTGGAGTTGATCCGTATGCCGATGAACACTCCTCGCACTTTCTGTATCATAAAAATGACAGTCAATCCCATTATTTAGTTCAAAGAGCCCGATAAGTTCCTTGTGGCGGCGGGTTTTGCTGGCTGTCCGCCTTTCCTCTGACCTGATTATTTAGTCCACGTGCACATAAGATCCTATTCAGATTGAAAATTCCAATTTTGTTGTTGCTTAACGGACATACTTGTTACACTAGGTCGTTTCCGAGTTAGGCACATTTGTTTTCTATAACTACCATACTAAAATGTTGTGGAAGCATTTCACCAACACAATACATGTTCTTATGTAAAATATACTATTATAATTGTTATGGTAACACGTTGTCACGAAACACACAAACTCTGACAGTTGCTATGATAACACTTGGTCCATTTAAGGCGCATTTATTACTTAATGAGCACACGCTCTCGCAATTGTCGTGGTAGCATTTGGTCTCTTTAAGTTGCATTTCTTGCCTAGTGAGCACCAAAGATTTTGTTTGATCATCATCATATCACTAAAAATTCTGGACAACGTTCTTCTCAATATTAAAGAGATTCTGAATAATTCTGTTTTTTTTTTTAGTAACATGTATTATTCTCTATATTTCATTAACTAAATAAGTAGAAATTTTATTACAATAGTTTAAAAATAAACCTCGACAAATTAAAAAATTGAAAGATGTCGCGTCAAAGAATGGTTGGTATATAATTACTATTCATCTGCCAAGAATGGAGTTAAGATTTTTTTTATTGCTAAAAAGGTTCCACGTGAATACAGTATTTACAACCTGAACGAACAGCACAGTGTGTAGATTTCGCTTTCTCGAGTTTTCTTTCCTTTGCAGACTGCCAGTGCATCGTGTTTGACAGTACTTACAACGAGGAATATGGCGTTTTCACTTCTCCTAACTGGCCTGTCCCTTACGAAGACAACATCAACTGTCTTCTTTATACCTTTATCACGGAAGAAAATTCTCTCATTAAAGTGGTTTTCGAAGAATTTGATTTGGACCGATCAAATTTAGGGTTAGTCTTCCTTAGTTTCTTTTTTTTCTTTCTTGTTTTCCAATTTAGTGGCACCAATACGTTTTCTCATGCGAATTTTCCTTTAGATTTGTTTGTTTTTAATTATGCACAAAGCTACACAAGGGCTATCTGTGCTCTCGGACTTACAACACTAGAAACCGGGTTTCGATACCCGTGGTGGGCCAGACATACCACTGGGGGGCAGGAACTAAGGATCGTCCTTTTAGCATTTCAAATAATCACACAATTACACAAATTACAATTAATAATACGCAACTGTTGAGAAATACTACATTATTAAACAGAACGTATTTGTTATTTTACAACAAGAATAATGATACATAAGAATATTCATTAATTAAATATTGTGAAAGACTAAATAGTTCCAACCAACCTAGAAAACGTTTAATAAAACTGGTAATAATATAAATTACATCATTTATCACCAGCCAAATACCTCGTCGACAAAGTTCTTCACTCAGTGTCAAACCTCATTATGCCGACGGGATTAAAACATATTAATACATTTAGCGTAACAGCAAAGGCGTTGAACGTTGTAGCCCAACTGGCCTAATTGAGGACTGATACGAAGCGAAACGCTTCCTCCGCATCGTAAGACATATATTAAGGTATAGCAGAAATGTTATTTTCATATTGTAAACCCGTATTTGGCCAACAAAGAAGAATCTAATTTAATTTATGATCAGTCTTATTGTGATGTGTTATCATCCTCAGCGTAAGACATTCTACACTTTTAGACAAATTACGTTGCGAGCCAGCTGGCTTAATGAGCTCTGATGTTTAAAATTATACTGCTTTAAATGTATTGTCAATAAAACGTATCGACACTCCATTACTCTCACAGATTAAGCAAATAAAAAACGTTGAACTGTTAAGGTCTAACAACAAGACAACCACGAAAAGTACACACTTTAACACGTGTTTGAATTTCGTTCTAATGGGACTAAAAGCGGGGTTGTGCATATCGTTATGAAAGGCATGAAAATTCTATAGAACATCAGTTAACAAATCAATCAGTAAGTAAGTAAGCGTATTGAATTAAATGTTCCTTGCATTTCAGTTAAATGTTTTAAAGTGGTGAAATCCCAAACATAGGTAATGGTTGAGTAAATAAAGAAAGAACACATTATATTTCAAACAGTAAAGCAGATTAAGGTGAAAGCGATGGTAAAACAGACGCAGATGATGTTTAAAACATAGAAGAAGGAACACATTATGTTTAAGTGTTAAAAGATATATTTAATTCTTCAAACGGTAATGAAGATACAGGTGAAGTTTAGAATGGTATAAAAGATACACGCGACGTTTAGAATAACAAAGTAAGAACGGGGTGACGTTTTATCGGGTAAAAATAGATACACACATATTATTTGATTGGGTAAAGAACGTACAGATAATCTAAAAAATTCTCTGTTTCATAATTTCGTGCAAAGAAACACAAGAAATCACAATTCTTGGGCTACCACTGATTCACAGAATGGTGGAATTTTTGTGTTATTCTTATAACGAACCAACTGCTCCAAAGTACAGAGCGTATTTTTGCGGCAATGAGAAGACAGTTTTGAACCCTCGTTTTGGTTTTGTTTGTTTTGAATTTCGCGCAAAGCTACACCAGGGCTATCTGCGCTAGCTGTCTCTAATTTAGCAGTGAAAGACTAGAGAGAAGACAGCTAGTCATCACCACCCACCGCTAACTCTTGGGCTACTTTTTTACCAACGAATAGTGGGATTGACTGTAACATTATAACGTCCCCACGGCTGAAAGGGCTAGCATGTTTGGTGGGACGGGGATTCGAACCCGCGATCCTCAGATTGCGAGTCGAGCGCCCTATCCACCTGGCTATGCCGGGCCTTTGAACCATCGGAGTCACAGTACGAGTCACTAGTCCATGCCTGGCTTATAAATGATAAAAACGGCCAGTGTTTAAGAAGGTTAAAGTACATTAAGTGATTTCTTAAGGCATTAAATCAAAAATGATATGTGAATCGGTAAAATATTTTATTTATAATGCTTAAGCATGGGTAAGTGATACCTAAAACTGCAAGATATGTGTGGTGATGTCTGAAAGAGTAGAGCACGTGAAAGTGATGTTTGAAACCTTAAAGAAAAAGTATATATATGTTAAAGATATACTATATGGTGAACTCAAAACTTCATAGATACACACAAAAAGTGTTCGGAACAGTGAAATTGTAGCAGGATATGCTTAAAAGAGTAGACAGATGTAGAAAAAAGTTGAAATCAGTAAACAGGTGCAAGCGATGTTTAAAACGACTAAGCAAAAGTTGGTGATGTTTTAATAGGTAAAGGAAATATAGGTAATGTTTTAATAGGTAAAGGAAATATAGGTAATGTTTTAATAGGTAAAGGAAATATAGGTGATGTGATAATAGGTAAAGGAAATATAGGTAATGTTTTAATAGGTAAAGGAAATATAGGTAATGTTTTAATAGGTAAAGGAAATATAGGTGATGTTTTAATAGGTAAAGGAAATACAGGTGATGTGATAATAGGCAAAGGAAATATAGGTGATGTGAGAATTGGTAAAGGAAATATAGGTGATGTGATAATTGGTAAAGGAAATATAGGTGATGTTTCAATAGGTAAAGGAAATATAGGTGATGTTTCAATAGGTAAAGGAAATATAGGTGATGTTTTTATAAGTAAAGGAAATATAGAGGATTTTATTAGGTAAAGGAAATATAGGTGATGTGATAATAGGTAAAGGAACTGAAGGAGAGATCTTAACAGGTAAAGAAAACATAGGCGATGTTTTGATAGGTAAAGGAAATATAAGATGTATGTGTTATTTATAATAGTAAAGCAGGTGTAAATGGTGTTTATGACAGTAAAGCAGGTGTTAATGGTATTTAAAACGCAAAATAGATGTATGTGTTGTTTATAACAGTAAAGTAGGTGTAAATGGTGTTTATAACAATAAAATAGATGTGTATGTTGCTTATAACAGTAAAGTAGATGTATGTGTTGTTTATAACAGTAAAGTAGGTGTAAATGGTGTTTATAACAGTAAAGTAGATGTATGTGTTGTTTATAACAGTTAAGTAGGTGTAAATGGTGTTTATAACAGTAAAATTGATGTGTGTGTTGTTTATAACAGTAAAGCAGGTGTTAATGGTATTCAAAACGTAAATTAGATGTTTGTGTTGTTTATAACAGTAAAGTAGGTGCAGGTGTTTAACATATTTATGCTGTTGTTTATGTTAAACACTGAAGGTTAATGGAAGAGATGGTTATATCGCTAGGTTACTCACAATGTGTATTTAAGATGGTGAAGCAGATACACGATGTTTTAAACTGTAAAAAAAACTGGTGGTGTTTAAACAGTACAGTTGTATTGATAATGATTAAATAAGATATAGATGATGTTCAAATACGCAAAGCAGATGTAAATGATGTTAATACGATAATTCAGATGAAGGGCTGAAATTTATAGTGTTAAGGAAAACCAGCTGATTTTTAAGTTGGTAAAAAGGAATAGCAGATATTTAAAAGTAAAAGTATATAAGTAATGTTTTAAACACAGAATATATATATATGTTTAAATAGAGTGGTTTAAACATTTGTTTAACAACAAGTAAAAACTTGGAAGGGTCTATTATTTCATTGGGGGGGGGGGGTGTCTATGAGTCAGACTAGTTTCGGAGAATTCCACTTCTCATCATTGACCCTGGACACTACCACCAACTT